TTTAACTGTTAATCAGCATAAAGATTAACAAAGTTCGGTTTTGTGCAATTAGGCTACATATTTATAAATGAATTTTAGTTTGAAAATTTAAATATGAATAATTTTTTATCATTATCATATCATATCATTTTTAGATGTATATTATAAATTTTAACTGCATATTTATAAAATAAGTTTATTTTACAACTAATAGCACGATTGCCTAAATATTTTACAGTTAATTAAATATAAATCGATATGTTTTTGGTTGAATTTTGCTTAATTGTTTTGTAGAATTTTTTAGTTGTATTTTAAAAATATTATCATTATTTAATTAAAAATAAATTGTTTATTGATTTTCATTTCCCTGTGAGCAGTAAAAATCGGATCAATTCTCAGCTTGAAGCGTTGAATAATCATTTTGGCTTGGCTTTAATAGTTATGCCGGCAAATAATTAATTATAAGCTAAACAATATTTTTAATGAAATGCCATTGCCGAAGGCAATCATGTGTTAAATATTAATTTTGCGGCGACAGAAAACATGGCAAACAGTCGAATTATTGGCATCACCAAATGCACACACACACACACACACACACACACATACTCACTGAGTGCCGATAGTGGCCAGCTATAAATTTTAATTAAAAATGCAGCTCATATGGCAAGTGGAGCAATTAGCACCTGAAAATATGCAAACATTAAATTGCCAACTGCAGACAAACAACAACAACAACAACAGCAACAACAATTGCAAGAACTGCAATAAAAGGCGTGGAATTTCAATAAATTGAGTGTGTGTTGGTGCATTGTTCAGGGCCAACATAACGTGGCCATAACAAACACATATTTCGACCCAGCAGTAGCCGCATCCTGCCCAGAGAACCTCGAGTTGAAGTGAGATGGCAAAGCGAACGGAAAACATTGCACAATTTGTTGYTGTTGTTGCTCTGGGCATTGTTGCTGGACAATGGACAGACAGTTTGCTTTTTTTTTGTTGCTGCTTTATTTCCTCGTTTTTTATTTAACATTATGCACACATACATACACATATATATACATATAGAGAGAGCGAGCGACATGGCAGACGGATAAATATTTTAGTTTGCGAAATCTTTTTGCGCTCAACAGTCGCCTACATGTAGAGCCCCTCTCTCTCTCTCCATCTCCCTCTGTCAACGTGTGTGTGTGTGTGTGTTTATGTGCTTGCATACAATATGTAAAAGCTACGCGCAGCATATATTCAAAATACAAACAACAATAATAATAACAACAACAACAACAAGGACGTGAATACATATTCAGACAATCTCGCTGCTGCTGCCAAAAAATCGACAAAAACAACCTGTTCGGAAACACTTGCAACAAGGACATCAAGGATGTATATCGTGCGGCAGCCACAAAGCGAGAGAGAAATACATACAGAGGTGGGTAAACGAGATAGACAACAGATTGCTAGCCCACCCGAAAAAAGGGGATGGAAGCGAGAGCCAGAGAGCTAGAGCTGGCATCTAAGCGCCGCCTCTTTTCGAAACTTGGCGATAGACTAAATGGCACAGTGGACTGAACTATGATATTATAGTTGTATAAATGTATTATAATTGAAGAATATATGTTAAATTTTATGCAATTATGGCACTTTAGTTGACAGAAGTCTAATTGGTTTTCATATATTTATTTATAAAGTT